CGCCCAATGTATTCAACCTTCGTAAATGAACAAACCCTTCAAGGAATCAGTTTGCAGAATTTGCTGAGTGGCAGCAAGCAGTGTGATGGTTAAGGAGTGTTCTTTTGACTGAAAGTCTGTGTCCTGTTGGATTCTGCAGGGATCAGTATTCAGGTCTTTGTGGTGTCTTTATATAAACTACTAAGCTTGAAATGTAGAAGAGTTGATCAGTAAGTCTGCAATATGAAAATTGAGGTGCTAAATAGCCTTAAGATACAGAGGCTGGTTAGTGACAAATAGAATTCAGTCTGGATAAGAGGACAAACCAGACTAAATACATGAACAGTAGCATCCCAGGAAGTACTTAGAATCAGCAAGACATTTTTTTGCTGTGCATGTCTACTGGTCCAATAAGATAGCAGTGCAGGCAGATACAGGTGAGACATTTTGGGGTACTTGCCTTTGTTAGCCAAGAACACATTTTAAGAGTTGGGAGGTGATGCTGGAGCTCTAGCTGTGGCCTAACCACCTATTATAGAGTATTGTGTGCAGTTCTGGAACCCATATTAGCATAGAATAGCACTGGAGAGAGTGCAGAGGACACTTTTTTTTGCTGGTGGCAGGGCTGGGGATTTTAAAATATTAGACTAGGGTTGTTTTCCTTTGGTGTAGACGAGACTGAGGGGTACGTGATTATGTATAAAATTGAGGGGCATAGACAGGAAAGAACTTCTTTGGTGGGATCAATCATGGAATAGATTTATGGTTACAGACTTTTTTTTTCTAAAAAAAAAAGTGTGGAAACTTTTTTGCCTAGAAGTTGGCAGCCTTTCAGAACTTCTCACCTATAAGGGTGGCAGAGGCAGAGGCAGAAACCATCATAGTATTCAAAAATTTAAATGTGCACATGCAGGTGCTGAAAGTGATTTTTGAATAGTTTGGCACGGCGAGCTGAGGGGCAGCACTGAAGTGTAACCTTCAGTCTTTTTTGTGTAATAGTAGCTGAGCTGGATTTATGAAAAATAAACTTTCAAATATACATTAATGATATGGGCTAAATGCTGTGCAAGGATCAAATACTGAACTTGTGAACTGTAGATGTATACCAGTTTTAGTTACTCATCCCATCTTCACTATTCTCAGTTGCTGAAACTTAGTTAAAAATGAATTGCCAAAACAAATTGCTCCTCTGCCCTAATCTGAACTGGGCTTAAATCATCTGTCTCTTGGGAACCAATGTAGAAAATGCACATTATGGAAAGTCAGATGCTAACTATGAACATTAGCTCTTCTACTTTCAGAAATATTGCCAGACTATTTTTGTATGATAAATGGAAATAGTATTCCATTTCCTACAAAGATGTGCCAAGCAATTCATTAACTTGCCCAGATAATCGGGCTGGGGAAAACACCTATTTACTATCAATTCCTTTTTGAAGTGGAATGTGAAGCTGCTGAGGTGGAGGGCTACAAGCAAAGCCTACGGGAATACTTTTTGCTGAGAGCATCTAGGAGTGCTGGAAAATAGCAAGAAGGCTTTATCAAGCAAGACAGCCCATTGTGGGAAAGCATGGTGTTTGTATCTTGATATGAAGATTGCATCAATTGAACTAAGTGAATTGGATAACTTTTTGCTCACTTGCTGAGAATTCAAGCAGCTTGGTTTGTATAAATCTTGTCTCACTTCCTCAATTTACCACCTTATGACCACATCCCTATCAGGCACTCGTGAACATGGAGGCAAGTCATTTTCTTTTTAAAGTTAAAAGATCTTGATTGTTGTAATAGGTGCTAACTGTGCCCATTGTTCCAACTGTAAGTGGAGCCTTCGGCTCATTTTTCAGGTTGCTAGTTGAGTTTGTTAAACCAAATCATGAGTACTCGTTCTTTTTGATCCCCAATTAGTTAGACTTGAATCTTTACAAAGTTGGAATAATTGGCTGCTTATTTGAGTACAGAAAGTGCAAGATATCTGGGCAGACTAAGTCTAAGAATTTTGATCATCCAACCATTGAGAATCAAGCTGAAACATCTGGCATTTCAGTCACCAATCTGTACATCTATCTTTATCTGCCTTCAATCCATTACCAATAGTAGCCTTATCTAATAAATTGACAATCTGTGACCAGTGTAACGGAGGCAAAATTCCAGATTTCTAGCGTTTATTAATTTCCCTCTTAAAATAGCCGTTGTTTTGAATTTTCACTAAAATTCACAATACTGTTGGACTGAGGCTGTTTCCTGGTTTCTCAGAGTTACAATTTTCTAATCTGGTGACGATGTCTACATTGTTTACCTAAATTTGTCACTGCACCCCCATCCTTTAAATGATCACTGAACTGGTCATATTGCTTACTCTGAAGGATGTTTATTTCCCTTTTTTGTCTTTAACACCCATTCAAAGTAACTAACTCATACACTAAATGGTGCACAATATTGGCAGATGGCAATCTGTGTCAACCAGTCAAGTATCCAAATCATTTAAAAGCCTGGATGAGACCACATTGAAATTGTATACAGCTTTTGTTCCTTACTCAAGGGGAGATGTTTCAGGAGTTCAAAAGGTTCTGTAGTGACCTCTGAATTGTGCAATGAGTAGACTAGACTTGAGTTCCATGGAGTAAGATTGAGTCAAAACAATCTAATGTTCATGTGGTCCATAGAATGCCAAGACTATGTTGCTTTGAGCCCTACAAACTCTGGTTCCAGTTCATGTAATCTAAATCACTTTGGCTCTTTTTAGACCTGCTCAGTTACTATACCCAGAGTCCAGGCACAATTCCTGCTCTGTACTCAGTGTTTGACTGGGTAAATACTGGGTTTGTGCTCTGGCTGGGGAGACTTGAACCAAGGTGTGGACTTGGGCTGATGCTTTGCGTTGATGAGATGTCTTCACTGAGGGCTGTGAATCTTGGCATTCTCTACCCCCAGATGGTTGAGTACTCAGTCATTGAATATATCCTGAGGCTGAGAACAATTCTTTAAGTTGATTGTAAAAGTTAATATTTGCATTAGCTGCACCCAATCTGATCTCTCCTTGAGTGGGTGGAGAATCAGGCAGTCTAGCACAAGTCTAGGAGACAAATGCTCTTAAGTGCTGCTTAAGGTTCTCTTCAGTGGCCTATCTAACACTGATTAGAACAGCCCTTAGATTCAGTGTCTAAGTTTCTGCTGACCAATTTAAGTGCCCTAATAGAGGCTGTCTCTCTTCTACTTTTTTTTTGGGTCGAAAGGAGGAACCCTTCCACCCTCCTTCCCCAAACAACAAGCCCTGGGTGGTTGGTACCAGAGGCTCAGTGTAACATTGGATTTAGATATTAAGGACAATAGGACTTCTGGATAGTATGGAAAATAGAGCTTGAGGTAGACCATTCACAACTATGATTTAAGGATTGGAAATGCCAATGTTACCAATAAAGCGCACAGAAAAAGGAAGCAGAACTCTTAGCAAACACTTCAGACAATATTGTCAAAGGTGGGAACCTCCCATATGCAATGAATTTGGTTTTTAAAAAAAGTTTCCTTCCATAAAATTGCAAGAAAGGACAATCAATCTCCAATTTAAAATTGAGTTTTCAGCTGAATGTGTTTTTCAACTGTAGGTCCTCCCTGGCTTTTGAAGGGAACAAAAGTAAAGTTTTTGGACAGTGACAAATCTGCCCTGTTTAATTCAAGTGAGCATCAGAATTAGTCTATTTCTAATGGCATCGTGCTCTTGTTTCAGTGCCATTTTGTACAGTTGGAATGGTAGTTCTGATGCATAATTGCTTTTCAAATTCAGCATTTAAACTGCTCTCAAACAAAGTACAAATTCACATGGTTACAGTGTGAATTCATTGGATGCTTATCAGAAATGCAAAGTTAGATTTTATTTTAGCAATGATATTTATTTGGGCACATCTAGCTACACTAAATATCTACACTTGTGCTCTTGGGACAGCCGGGCTCTCAAATGAACAGTTGGAGCCAATTTTCTCCAATTTCCTTCTAACCAATGAGGGATGTAAGTGTTGCCCATAAGTTTAAGTCCTGAGCATTTTCAACTTGAACTCCTGTTGGCTGCTATATGCAACTTTCCCAGTTTTTTCACTTTGTAATTTGCTCTTACTGGATTTAAATATCAGCTCACATTCAGTACATCAATGTAATATGAGCACAACCATGGAAAATGGGAATACAGTTTGGCATAATAGGATCCTTGGAACAACACATGAAATCAGGAACAGTTGCCTTTTGTATGTTGTGGAAATTGGTCTTGTCCCTCTTTGGCTGAGGTCAAAAGTGCTGTTGCATCTTCAAATTTTGAAGATCAAATGGGAGAGTGTTGCCAGCGACTCTGGTTTAAAACTTGTTTATTACTGGCTCTGTGCTTTCTTGTCAAGTTACTTGTGGGTTTCAGACTCCAGCAAACCGCAGCCCAAAGTTGACAACTAAGTGCGGCACTAAAGGAGTCCTGAACTAAGGTTGTAACTTTGAAGTGAGATGTTAAATTGAGGCTCTGTGATGCCTTGAGTGCATATAAAATCCTGGTGTTATTTGGAGGATGATCCTGGCATTATTCCTTCAATTAAACAGACTACCCTGGTCACCAAAGTTGCTGTTTAGTGAGATCTTGCTTTCTGTGAACTGTTGACTGCATATCTTGCTTTTTGTTTTTAAAAGCAAACAAAGCATTTTTGAACTGCAAACTGATGGTTGAGGTCTTGTGGTCATGTTACTATATATTTAAATGAGTTTTTTTTATTTGTAAGGTGTAGCTGAATGCAGTATTTTCACGTGGATAATATTCTCAAGATCCGTCATCTTGTCACTTTTTCTAAAACTAAAGACTTGTTTGGTAACCTGGTAAGCAGAATACCTGTGGTCTACCTCTTGGAAAGAAACTTTAACTCCAATCAAAATTAATCACTACAGTTTGAGTTAAACTACCTCATTTATCTTGACTGTCAAAGTTTTTGGAGAGGGAAGCATTTCAAATAAGTCTTTCTGGCTAAAAAATTATCTCCTTTTTTAAATTGTAGGTGTACCAATGCTTTCTGTACAACCAAAAGGAAAGCAGAAAGGTTGTGCTGGCTGCAATCGCAAGATCAAGGATCGTTACCTGCTAAAGGCATTGGACAAATACTGGCACGAAGACTGTCTAAAATGCGCCTGTTGTGACTGCCGCCTTGGAGAAGTTGGATCAACGCTCTACACAAAAGCAAACCTAATTCTCTGTCGTAGAGACTATTTAAGGTAAATTAAGGAAAAGAATCTGCCAGCTGATAGCTATGATGGAATATCCCTTGAAATGAAATATGCTAGAGCAGATTAAGGCCATCTTTTGAGACTGCATCCAAATAATTGGGTGCTTCAAAAGTGTCAATTTCAGTAAGAAACATTGTTGTCCAAAAATTTAGTCCTTGTCTGCTGCCAGATTATTGCCACAAATATTGACAAGGAGGAATGGGATGTTCTGTAAAAGGAATGGAGACCTGACCTTTGTTACAAGCTATTTTGGCATTGGGATTGAAAAACCCAATCAAGCCACTTTACAACATTGAGGGCTATCTTTTACTTTGTAGCTCTTTCATAGTGTAGAAACTAGTACTGCATGCCAATCTGTAACATCACATTTGAACAGCTATCCAATGTTTTAAGTCTTGCACTTTCTACTCAGTAAGTTGTTTTTTTGCTCTGATGCAAAATGTAGTAATTATTGGCATGTTGGAAGATCAAGTTTTATGCTTCTATTCTAAAGCCTTGGTCAGGACACATCTGGGGGATTGCATTTAATTCTGCACGTCTCAAGGAGATTAGTCCTTCTAATGAGATTTGCTAAAATGATACCAAGACTTGAATGATAAAATTACAGACAGGTTCTCAAAACTTGAATGTACTCCCTTGAGTTTAAAATAAGGATTAGGAGTGACTCCTACCACAGCCCCCCCCCCCCCCCACAAACCTTGTGGACAGCAACATTTTCAAAAATGGTCTAACATTAAATATTCATAAGGCTCCCTAACAACTTTTCTACTTGGACATTCTAATGCAGAATTAACCCTTGCTTTTTGAGGAGTTGGCCATGCAATAGACCCAAGAGTAGTGGAGCTGCTTGTTTACCCCTGTTGGTGAATTTGACTTTTTTCAGGTGTTGTGACAATATTGTATAGGATCTTTTATTTTGGTCAGGGGATGGGAAGAGACCCCTTACAATTAAAGGGATTTCATTACTTAAATGCTCATCCGTTCAAGATCTGCATCTGGAATATAATCCAAAACTGTTGCGCACTCTACTGCACTCTTCTGTTGCCTTGTGTTGTTGGCTTAATCCTACAAGAGGCTTGATGAATGTTACCAGCTGCTATCCATTAATGAAATGGTGTCAAAGTTCTCTTTATAGGATAGCAAAACTTGCATACAGCAGTTGGCTGTGTACACCAAGTCTTTTGTAACAACTGCAATGTTGATTCAGTGTTGTGCGATGCCCATGTAGTCATCCTTCTATCTTGATTCCCATAATTTAGAATGTATAAGTGAACTTTGCAATGATGCAGCTGCGGAATTTCTATGGCCAGTGGAAAAGTTGTTAGTTAAAAATATTTTTTTCTTTTTTGGGGAAAAAAAAAACTATCCTTCCATTTGCTCAGGTGCCACCCCCTTTCTAATGCTGCTAGTCCCTAACTCTTTAATTTGGCAACCACCAATTATCATTTTTCAGAAGAAAAGATGGCTGGTGATCAAAACCAGGCAGTGCTGAATAATTCTGGTTGTGGAACTTTGAAAGATATTATGAACTTGTCTGAGTAATTGAGCTACTGGATTGAATGGTTGAAGTTTAATTTTTTTTAAACTTGCTCCTCTAATATAATGGTAGCTACTGTTTTTTAGCTGAAGGATTAGTTCAAAGGCTAATTGTAGGGACCTTGGTGATGAGTGGACATTCTTTAACTTTTTGCACTGAAATGGCTTGATAATTCTTGTCACTGCATTTAGATTCTCAGGATTTGGGAATCTAGAAACAGCCAGAGCAGGCCACTTACCCTTTTGATCTGCCCTGCTATTCAGAACAGTCTTGGATGATCATCCAAATTGGTACCCTCTCCCCATTCATGTTGATCCTTTTTTAGCCAGAAGAACCATATCTAACTGCTCTTAAACATTCAATGTTGGCATCAATTGCTTTGTGTTGAATTCCACCGATCTGCTCTGGATGAAACTTCTCGGCTTGGTCTTAAATGGCCTAGCCTGCATCCTTAAACTGTGAGCTCCTGATTTTTAACTGCCTGGCCATCAGGAATATCATTCTAAATTTACTGTCCAGTCCTGCTATGATTTCATAGGGTTGAGATGATCTCTCCTCCCCATCCCCCTAATTCTTTGAAATGCCAATGAATATATTAACTGATCCTATCTCTTTACCAGGATAGCAGGACTGATGCATAACCAATCTGGTAAACATTTGTTTTGTTTTTTTTTCCATAGCTGAACACTGAGGGACCAAATCTGTGTACACAACACCAAGTGTAATCTCACCAAGGCCCCATACAATTGCTGTAAGACATTTGTGCTTGAATCCTATCACTGAAGATCAACATACCATACAGACTCTTTTATAAAGAGACATAGATCTCACTGCACCTCCTACCCAATTTATTGCTATTCAGAATAATTATTATTACTGCACCATGAATTAGTGTTGGCTATTTTATATTGTTTTTGCTATGAAAATAACCACTTTATTCACATACTTCATCTGCCATGCATTTATCCACTCAACTTATTCATATCGCACAAGCATATGTATCTTCCCCTCAGCTCACACACTTACCCAGACTTGTAATGTCTGCAAACTTGATTACACAGTTCCCTTGTTCAAATTGTAGTTAATATCTGGGATCCAGTCCCTGCGATACCCCACTGCCATTGTCTACTCTTGGTAAGGGGGTCAGCGTGTAGAGGAAGGATGACTGATTCACTTATTCCTGCTATTTCTTGTTTGGCCAATGTTCTGTACCTGTCAGTGTGCTGCCACCAATCCCATATTTTAATTTGACATGCTAATCTGTTGGATCTCTTATTGAAAGCCTTCTGAAAGTCCAAATAAACAATATCCACTGGTTCCCCCTTATCTAATCTACTGGAATTGATTTTAGGCAGCAGACTTGTTAATCCAATTTCACACTGCTGCATTATGAATTGGTTTGTGGCACATCTTTGGCTGTTATTGTTTGCTTTGACATTAGAGCTAAGCACAACACTTGCTAATGGCTGATTCATGGATATACATAGCAGAGATAACCAGTGTAATTGAGAACCTTGGATTGAAATCTGGCTGGAACTGAGCAATTTCCTCATTTCTGTGTAATGTATTGCATAGTATTTGCTTGTAGAAAACTTTGACTAACAGACATTGATTTAACATTGAAAATTGGTATAAAGTAAAGAGCTAACTTGCATCATCCAAAATTTAAGATCGAAACAAACTTGTGTATATCCAGCACTGAAACAATTAGGTTTGAAAGCTAAAGTCAGTGTAGCCACATTGAAAATGCAATACCTCCCTTAGTGTTTAACAGAATATATCCATGAATTTCCCTATGGATTGGTTTTTAACTTGCTTTCCAGGTTAGTGTGGTTTTAAAAGTTGAACACATCGAAGCAATGCTAAAGTGGTTTTGAGGAAAATTCTGAATGGGACACAGGAATTGGATAACGTCACTGGAAAATCTAGCCACATTTCTTGTAGGTTTACAATGTTCTTCAGAATTTGGTGTACAGGTATTTCTGCTATAATGTTTCATTAATGTGAATTGGCTGTATGTAATTTTGAGTAGTGGATGTTGTTCGGATAATGCAAGCTTTCTACTGCACAAGTGACTGTTCTATGGTGATTTCCCAACAACACGATTTTCTTTAGCAAGAGGTCATAAAGAATGCAACTACTGTCAGGAGAAATACCTGTAGTGCTTTGTTTTCTCTCCTCCCACAAGAGTAGGGCATAAGTCTGAACACTCAAATAGACATTCACCAAGATACTGACCTCAATGAAAAGGAGCTCTGTGGTCCTTCAAGCTGTCAGCAGACATTTTTAATAAAAAAAAAGGAAAGTGAGTGTGGTCAAGTGCCATTACTTTTTCATATCTGTTCATGGCGTGAATTCAACTGGGTTTGTATCAACCCTGACTATAGCTTCAAATTTGTTTTAATCTCGCCCTTTTTGAGGTGATAGTGTTGTGGTATTTGCTGGATGAGAAATCCTATGTTTGAATCCCACATTAGGTGGTAGCAATTGCATCACGTTAAAAGTCTAGAACTGAAAGTACAACATGACCACCTTTTTGTCAGTTATCATAAAAGTCCACCTGGTTCACATTTTCCTTTTTTTTGGGAGGGGAATCTGCTTTCCTTACCTGGTGTGGCCTACATGAGAACCCAGACCCACAGCTGTGGTCAGTCTCGCCTCTGGCTTGCTAGGCTATTTCAATTGGATCAACTAGTAAACAGCCTTCACGAACAAACTGGACAGACCATCTGGCCTCAACATTGGCACCAAAAACTACAACTGTAAACAGCCATATTGACCCATCAGTGTTGTCTGTCTGGGAGCTAGTGCCAAAATTGGATGAACTGTTTCTGATTTAATCAAACAGTCTAACTGCTTGGTATGAGATTATGACCATGTCCCAGATGATGATCCCACCACCCCTATATGCCTTGTCCCACTGGCAGGGCAGATCCAGAAGTAGTGATGGTGCAGTAGTATACACTTGGGAGGGAGTTGTCCTGAAGTGGTCAACATTCTTCTAGATCCCACGAAGTCTCATGGCATTAGATCAAACATAGGGCAGCCTGGTGGCTCAGTTAGCATTGCTACCTTAGCACCAGGGGTGCAGGTTCAATTCCAGCCTTGGGTGACTGGAGTTTGAATGTTCTCCCCATGCCTGTGTGGGTTTCCTGTGTGCTCTGGTTTCCTCTCTCAATCCAGAGATGTGCAGGTTAGGTGGATTAGCTATGGGAAATGCAAGGTCACAGGGATAAGGTGGAGGGGTGAGTCTGGGTAGGATGTTCTTCAGAGACTGGACATATTGGGCTGAATGGCCTGTTTCCACACTGTAAGGAAACCTTCTGATGCTGCCACTGCCACTGCCACTGCCACTCATGCTCAAGAACTTTGTGCCCCTAGCCAAGCTGTTCAACTTCAACATTGGCATCTACCCAATCATGGAAAATTGCCCAAGTATGTCCTGTATGTAAAAGTGGGACACAACCAACTTGGCCAATTACCACTGTTCTCTTGTGGTAGACTAAGAAGGGATTCAATTCCACCTGACCCAGAAGTGGATCAAAGCTGTTTGAATAGTTTTTAAAAACTTTATAAATAGTGGCTACAATGACGGGTGATATGGGTTGCTTGCAACGAGTAGTTCGTTCCCTGATTTCCACCCCTAAGGCTGTCCACTGTCTGTAAGGCACCGATCAGGAGTTTGATGGGTCAACTTCCACATGCCTGGATAAGTCAGCCTCAACAATAGAGGCCATCCATCAAGATGAAGCTTGTTTAATTTGCACCATATCCACAAACATTAATACCTTCTCCACCAAAGCTTTGCAGTAGTGTGTACCACCTGAGATGTATTGCAGAAATTCAGAAAAGGCACCTTTTTCAAATCCATCTCTCGTACATGGAAGGAAGAAGGTTGCAGGTACCAGGAATATCACACTCTGCAAATTCACCTCCCTAGCCACACTCCATCTTGACCTCCTCCAATGTCACTGGGTTGAAATCCTGGAACTTGCTTGTTAATGGCATTGGGATCTACCTATGTAAACAAACTGCAGCAGTTCCAGGTGGTGGGCAACTAGGGATGTCCATGAATGCTGTGCCCAGTTAGTAATTCCTACATTCAATGAATGAGTTATTAAACTAAAAGCTTGGCTACCACTAAATTTTGCTTTCCTTATGACTAAAATTACCAGTCGTCTTTAAACAACCAAAAAAAATTTTTAAACAATTGTTTGGCAGCAGATTTTGCTTAAGTTCAGCTGAACTTGGGTTGTTAACTAATTTCCAATTTGGTTTCATTATATCACTTAGGGACTACAGTAACAAGTTTTGCTATATGGAGTATCTCACCTCATTGAGTAATGCACTGGAAATGAGTCCTGGTATTCCTGGAGTTGTTAAATGTCAATTTTATTCAATTATGCAAAATCTTCAATTAACTAGCCAGGTTAGCAGAACTTGGAGTAAGCTTCTGGACTTTACCAATTTATTATAAATTAATGCTACTTGTCATTCTAACCACAACTACTCAATTATGAACAATTGATGTACAATTCTAGTTGAAATCCAGCTCCCTTCTAAAAACTCCTTACCAACTTATGCATAGGGGTGTAGAATCTTTCACATAGAATGCTTGACTTTTAGCGGCTGAGACAGATCCAAAAACATGAAAAACTGAAAATAAACTTAACAAAATGCTGGAAATACATAGTCAGGCAGCCTCTGAAGAAGTGACTTCCTTTGCATAGCCAAGGGAATAGAATAGTCTAAGCTACCATTGATTATGCTAGCTAACTTGACAGACTTAATTTTGTGCTGTATCATCTGAATGTCTGTTGGCTGGTTGTACTCACCTTCTACATTTGTGGCCATTGCTTTAATGGTGTATACATGTGAAATGGTTTCTACCAGAATTTTGGGTGGCAAAAGTTTTATTGTACTGATTTGCCAGTCTTTATGGAATGGGTATGGATTGTGTAGATTTAAGATACAACTTTTTTTTTTTTTGACACTGAATCAGTTTGTGGCTATTTATGAAGCACTATGGGGAAGGATATGGTAAAGTAATTGTAAAAAAAAAAAAAAAACAAAAAATGTTTTCAGGAGACTGGGCAGAAAATATCCAATGATCTGGAATTGGAAATTGGAAGCTGACTCAAATGACCCTCTGGAGTAAAGGGAAGAAACTGGCACATTGGTACAACGTTGAAGCTGGAGATTTGGTTCATTTGCAGATGAATGGGAGAAAGGAATAATGTTTGAATGATGTATTTACTACATTTTTGAAATGTAAACTCAAATTCACCTGATTAAAGGTGACAAATGCAAATTTGAACATGTTTATTAGTTCTCAGCCAGTGTGCTTGGAGGTGCCTTTCTGAATACTCATTTGTCAGACAAATCTTTATTGGCCAAACTGAGGTTTGCTTTGTGATCAACATTCCAAATCCAGAAAGTTACGGTATAGAAGGCAGTCTTCTGAAAACTGCCAATTTTGTTTTTAGAACATAAAAATCTGAATAACCCCTTGACTCCAGAATTCAGAGCTTACTGAATTGGTGACTTAACAATGGATGTGTTGAATCAACTTTGCACATCATTAAATTCAAATGGAGTTAGATTTATTGTCTTGCCATGTAATAAGCAGTGTGCAGATAGTCATGTAGTTTACATTCTCTGCTTTCAGACTGGTGTGTTATTAGTATCTGATCCTATTTACAGGCTGTAATTATCTAAAATGTTACATAATTAGAGGTAGACCATGGAAATTGATTCATTTTTACTTTAATGACAGGCATGTTCTGTGCCACTCAAAGGAGTATTTGAAAAACCGACAGCACCTCAATGTGATGGACAATATACAGTAATCAAATTCTACATCAACATGCATGTAGACTGGACCATTAAGTGCCTTTGCTGGTTTCATTTCAATAAAAGTGCAGTTGCTTTCCATTGTGTACATGAATGTAGCTGATAACAACCTTACTATTTGAGAGTATCTAAGATGACAAATAGCTGAAATATTTTGAGGGATAATTTTAGTTGGGGTCAAAACTCTTTTCACAGGTTCGATATGGCATCATCTCTGCCTAGCTGAGTAGACATTGGCTGCTGCAGCCAAACATCACAATGTGCCTCTTTAGTTCTGTACTTGCACAGCATCTAGCCAACAATGCAAGTCTTTAGGCAGCTTGAACGTATAACAGTCCATTTATTGTGGACGTGTTGCCACTCTGCTAAAGTGGCTGAGGGTTTCCAACCAATCCTGAAGCGAAATGTGGAAAGAAGTGTGCATGTATATAAAATAGGATTATTTGTCCTAGTTTGAGCTTTCAAACCAATCCCAGGATTTTGCATTGCAAACAATGTAATCTATTAAGGTAAATGGATCTGGCAAAGCTTATAATGTGCTGCTGATCTCCAAATGGCTTGTGCTGAGCTTATCCAATCCTTTTTTTCCCATTTTCCTCCAGGCTTTTTGGTACCACAGGAAATTGTGCAGCATGCAGTAAACTGATCCCTGCTTTTGAGATGGTGATGAGGGCCCGTGAAAATGTCTACCACTTGGACTGTTTTGCCTGTCAGCTCTGTAATCAGAGGTAAGCCGGGGAAAGCAGAGAATTAGGTTGATCCAACAGACTGTTGCACAAATTGATTTTAGGACTAGCTCAAGAATCTCGAGTCTTGAGGCACCAGTTGGCCTACTAATAAATGGATAATTACTCGGTTTTGTTTTTTAAACCTACATTGGAAGTATCCATTTCATGTCTCTTGTATATGGCTCTACTTTAATATGCCAAGAGAACATTTTTAAGATACCTACTAACTTTAACTTTAAATTTGCTTGGGTAAATATGGGATATTGTTTGTAAGCTAATTGAGTTCTGAAATGGAGAGCCAAACTCTTTGGCATTTATAATGGCACCTTTTAGAGGCTGAATGTACCTTGGAGTTGAGTATGCTTTTAGATTTTGATTGTTTTGAGAAATATTTAAAGGATTGTTTTGGCATAAAAAATTGCATCCCTGTTTGTCCACATGATGCTTATTGTCCAATCTGTTGGCACTAGTGTAGGAAGGAAGTGCTCATTATGACTGGTTGAACAGGAAATTGACACCAGATCTTCCCCTTGGGATTGACTGGTTGGGCAACTAGTTAACATGTAACTATGAAAGGAAAACAAACAATTCATGACCCTTACTGTGACTGGAGGACAGCATCCTTGTTTTCTGTTGCTGCAGCAACCATTTCTGGGTAAACATAGTTGAATGTTGCTGATTGCCATACTAGTGCTTAAGTACAATAACCACAATGAAGTATGCATTGATGTGTATTGTCTGTTTAAGTGGCGCAACTGCTGATCTGCTTTGAATCAATGGAACTTGGTTTGGTGCAACTGAGCTGAGAACATTGGTTCCTTTTGAGAACAGTTAAAGATGAACTGTTGAAATGGGACCTGAAATTGAAGACTTGAGAAATTTCGTACAAAGAAAATTTCTTAACATGAATCAGTTGGGGCATTTTTTTTTGGAGTCATTATCGTTAGCTGCCTCATTCTGTGACAAACTGATATCCAATTCAAATTGTCAAAATGGGATTTGAGCTCCTTCCAGGATTTAATTCAAAGCAATGATGTAACTATTATTGTTTCCTAATATACAACATGGGTTTGTGAGGAACTCTTGTCACATCAATAAAAAGGTGATGAGACAAATGAGGGAAAGGTGGTGGATGTTGTTTATGTAGACTTTAGCAAGGCATTTGACAAGGTACCTCAGCAGGCTGATACAAAATAGAGTATTGTAGAATCTGGATAGTGCTGGCTAGCTGGATGCAGCACTGGCTTGGTTGCTGTCATGGTCAAAGGAGACCAGTAACTAGTGGTGTTCCATAGGGGTCACTGCTGGGGCCTTTTGTAATATATAAATGATCTGGAGGGAAATATGGGTGGTCTTTTCATTTGTAGATGACACCAAAATTGGCAGTGTTGCAGAGTGAGGATTGTCAAAGGATACAGTGGGATAAAGGTTACAGATTTGGGCAGAGAAATGGCAAATGGAGTTTAATCTGGACATGAGATGATGCATTTTGGAATATAAAATTCAGGTACCAATTGTACAATAAATGACCTTTTAGGAGCATGACAGAGGAATCTGGTCCCCAGACCCCTGAAAGCAGCACCACAGATGGATAAGGTGGTCAAGAAGGCATACAGCACACTTGCCTTCATCAGCCAGGGCATCAAATATGAGTTGGCAAGGTTTTGTAGCTGTATAAAGCTTTAGTTTAACCTGGAGTTTGCACATTCTCCCAATGCCTGGGTTTCCTCTGGGTGTGCTGGTTTCCTCCCACAGTCCAAAGATGTGTGGGATAGGTGGATTGGCCACGTTAAATTGCCCATCATGTCCAGGGATGTTTAGGTTGGGTGGGTTAGACATGGGAAATGCGGGGGTAGGGGAAATGTCGTCTGTGTGGGATGCTCTTTTGGAGGGTCAGTGTGGACTTGTTGGGCCAAATGGCCTGTTTCCACAATAGGGACTCCTACTCTATTATGACACATTTGGAATCCTGCATGTAGTGCTGGTTGCCACACTACGAGAAGGATGTGGATGCTTTGGAGAGGATGCCGAGAAGATGTTGCAAGGATCTTGCGTGATCTGGAGGGTTTTGAGTTCTGAGGTTGGATAAACTTGGATTGTTACTGCAAAGTTGGAGGCTGAGGGGTGACCCGAGAGTCTACGATATTGAGGAATAGGGTGGAAAGTCAACTATTTCAAGGTGGGTGGGCATGTTTATGGGAGAAGTGCAGGGGAGATTTTCCAGAGGGTGACAGGTGCCTAGAACACTGCCAGTGGAGATGGTGGAAGCAGGCACCATAGCAACATTTTAGGGTATCTAGATGGGCATGTGAAGGGGAGGCAAACAAGAATAGATAGCACCTGTAAGTAATGGGTCTAAATAAGGACTTGGGGCAGGCTTGGTGGGTTGAAGGGCCTGTTCCTATGTTGTTTTGTTTTTGCTCTTTATCTGCAATCACCTTGTGTCGTCAAATGTATCAGTAAATTTCATACAGCAAAAATCTCTATGCTTAAATGAACAGATCCTGTTAGTCATTTGGCTGCAGGAATTCTAGAGGAACACTCCACACCTTGCTTTGTGTGGATGTAAGACATAGTATTTGAGAATGTCTATACAGATGCATACATGGGTCAGCGCACATTGTGAAAAGTAGCATGAGGCCACTCTATGAAAACTGCAAACTTCCTCACACTTGTAACCTTTTTTTTCTCTTAGGTTTTGTGTGGGTGACAAATTTTTTCTGAAGAATAACATGATCCTCTGCCAAATGGACTATGAGGAAGGGGCAATGAATGGAAGCTTCTCATCACAAGTTCAATGACTTGCCCATGGCCTTCTAAAGTGTTGTGGGATGTTCAACACTTAAACAAAAATGGAGAGCATCTGTCAGCTTGCTTGCAACACTTCAATTAGTCCAGAATGGATTAAAGTAACTTTCTCCAACACTGAGCAGTTAAGATTTTAGATGCACAGCTGTGCTGTTTAGCTGGGCAGTGCTTTGCCTGTATGTTTTGTGATGTTGGGTCTGGGAGGGTATGTACAGTGTTTCTGTATATATAAACTGGAACATTTATTTTACATAAATGTAATGCAATTTTATTATTACTGGTGTGCATTAAAGAAAATTAAATGTTCCTACTTGTGAACATCGACTTTTTTTTTAACTCTAGCCCATGAACATACTGAAATGAACTGCTACTTCAGATGTAAAATTGATCAATCGTAGAAAATTTGCCCTTTAGATGGTGGCTTGTGAAGTTAGAATTTTTCATTGAAACCTATTTTCTTAAAGATCTTGATCTATTGTCTTGACTTGGTGCATACTTGTATCAAATTCTAGTCCCAACAATTGAGGGTGTAACAATTGCACAAGTACCACAATTTTTTTTGCCAGATTTTTGGTTTCTTTGGTTTTTGCTTTACCCTGCAAATTCAAGTTTGCAGGTACCTTACATTTGGTTGCAGTTCTTCATGTAAGAACTTAGCTGCTTACAGGTGTTGTCTGGCTTCCTTTTGTCTTTACAAGGTGGCAGAATCTGAATTTGGAATAATAATACTTCTAGCATTGACTAGATGTTAGTGGTTCCCCCAGCCATGCTTAATTGCAAACTTCAAGGCAGAATAATCAAGCTCTTAAGTGAGGTGAGGCTAGATACCCTGAGCAGTTTCTGTACTGTACAACAAATGAATGCACAGAGCAGTGATTATAATCAGTCCATTTAATCTGTGCAACATTTGCACAATTTGAGAATGTGTGACACAGGCAAACATGCATACACCACCTCCCTCACCAAATGGCCTGACCACTCCAGTTTAAGAATCTTTGTGCCAGCCTATGTACTGTCATTCATATTTAATTATACTGTTACATGATAATGTGAAGAATCAATAATATAATCCCATTAGAGTAAAAGAATAGGCACAGATACTAATTTGTCTGAATCCTTGGTGCAGAAAGGTGATTCAAAAACCATGATGGCATTAAAAGCTGAAATGTAATGTTGATTTTTGCCTATTCTCGTGGTACTGAAATCAGATTGTTACCTTGGCTTTATATTGCCAGTGAGCCCTGGATATGTTTACAAGTAAGTCAGTGAAGAGCTCACTAGTTTTTTGATTGTGTAAAATATTTCTAATCCAGTGTAGAGTTGATTGTAACTTGTGTAATGACACTTCCATGAATCTAATTTCTCAAAGGGAGGCTATGTATAAAAGATTATTGTATATTGATGTAACAGACAATTATACTTAGAAAGCTTAGCTAACCTTTGAGTTTAAAGGTCTTGTCTTTTTAGTATGCATCAGGCAATAATTCCATCACCACAATTAGCATTTTTCAGTAAAGTTAAAGCTGCACTATTGGGAAAATCAAGTGGTGGTGAATTCAAATAAAATTAACTTTTTAATATAGAATTAATCATGTTTTGGAAACCCTGGGATATAAATTGGTGTAAAGTGACTTGAGGTGATGGGAGGATGCTTCAGTGCTGACTTCTAAAACTGTAAGCAGTTTGATCTGATCTTGTATTTGAGGTAAAGCCACTGAAATGGACACTGCAGTGGTTGTGGTTAAGTTATCAGGAGTAGGTGGATTGGAGATTTGTGAACTGAAGTTTGCAATAAAATTAAAAATGCTGTTATCAGTAAACACTAATGACCAGAAACAAATTCCAAAATGTAATCCTCTAACTGAGCAGCCAACACCAGACATTGCTTGCAAATGGAAAGAAAAACCTGGACTATTCCACAGCAGCATATTTTGAGGTGGAGCCAAGTGGCACTTTCTGCAATTTCCCAGCTTTCTGCACTTCCTTTCAAGCATCATCCTTCCTTTTTATACACTGACTTTGAGTAGAGGATTGATTTTGGGCAGGTCTGTTCAAATTAACTGTAGACAATGCTGGTTCTTAAGGGACTAAGTAAGGTAAATGAAGGCCTGAGTTTTGAAGTCTTAATGGTTTTTCCCACTTGTAGCTACTTGTACATTAAACTGAATTTTATGCTACTATACAAACTGATTCTATTCTACTATTTGAAGAGTAAGGTGCCGTGGAAACTTATCTCCTTAACAGCCAAATTTGATGTTGGTTATCTCCTAGTTCTTTATGGAACTTTCCTATGTACAAACTGAGAACACAGTGCTGTAATGTAGGAAATGCATCAAATGGCTCAAAAGTACTTGACTTTAAATCTCCTAAATTGAATGCCTCTGTATAATTCTAACTAGCGTGATCATCCTTGCTTCAATGCTGTACTGTGAAAACTAAGTGCCATGTTGGAGATTTTTTGTTTTTGGTGCAGTGAGTCAAAACACTTTGCCTCCAGTTTCCCACCAATTCAAAGTCCCCTTTGGGAAGAATAGCCCTATCATAACCTCTGTTAAGACTGCTAATTTTACCTCTGAGCACAGCATTCAGGTCTGCCTACCATCTCTGGCTTTCCATTTACCAAACAAGTTTTCTCCCAGGATTTGCATTTACACATTTAGCATTTACAAAAGAAAGTAAGCAATCAACTGAACTTTGGTGGGGAAATATGAGGAGACTAGCAGGATTGAGTTTGTTTCCAAGCCCCACCCAAACCTCCCCTCCTGTGCCTTCCTGAATTGAAACACCTTTTTGGATAACTGTCTTGAGGGAAAATAAACAACAGTAAATACTTCCACCACATCCACAGCAGGGGTTCAAGGTGACTCTCTGCTATGCACCACAAGGGTAATTAGGGATGGGTAACCATTGGTCTTGCTGTGATGCTCATCTTATGACTTTGAGAGGAAAACCTTTTTAAATTAGTTCATTCGAGCCTTTAAAAGAAGCCTTGCTGCCTGAGCAATCCACCTAAGGATCTCTTCTGATCTGGTTTCCGTAGCTCATCTAGTACTTGAAGTTGATACTGAGCTGCAAAGTGAAACGGTGCCCTTTTCCACTGGGCTGCCCTTGTTTGCTTCAGCCAGCAGTTCTGATGACAAATGAATTGACATTGGGCAATCTAGTGACACTATCACCATCTTTGCCAAGTATAGGTAGTGTGCCCAATACCAACGTACACTCTTAAAATACATTTGGCACTCAGGCCAATGTGGTTAGAAATGTATTCCTCTCACGTGCAAATCCAAAATTAACATTTTCCCCTTGTGCTTTACAACTACTTAAGACCATACAACATTGAAGAATTAAGCCCATGGTCTATTGTTTCTGATGTTTCTGAACCTCCTCCCCATAACCCTTGATCGCCTTACTAATCGAGAACCTGTCTAAATTGAGATTCTTTTATGGAAGATAACCTGAATGTATACAAAAGAATTAATGCTTTTCCTAATGTGATTTTTAATGGCACCATGATCTTTGGAAGTATTGCTACTCATACATTTGAGCTGAGTAAACCTGTTTTACTGCTTATTTTTGCCACATTGAGGCCTATTACAAGCCAGCCATGTATATAGTATTCAGTAAACATTTTACTGAATTACACACTAATCCTTTCATTGTTAGCATTGGAATTAGATGACTTTTTTTGATTTACCAGATAGCTTTGAACACTTGAATTTATATCACTTAGTTGAAAAAAGACAAGAAGTTGATCAAAATTAACTGGACAATAGGCCAGCTTAAACGTAATCTCTAATCCTCTTCCTCACTGGCACTGCTTTTAAAGTTGACTTTTATGAATGGGGAAAAATGTTAAAGCATTTTTATACAACTGATGCAATTGCTTTTTGGTCACCTACTAAACTAATTCTTAATGTGTGCACTTCTCTATTGTTTTAATGATTTGACAAGTTCCAAAGCAGCATTGACTGAGTGTTCATAATTCAGGCTTCTCTAACTTGAGTGCTGTCAGGTTCGGAAGTATCCACTTGCACTGGTGATAAGTTGACACTACATGCTGTGTAGTGTGAAAGTGCTGTTACGCTGCTGGTTCTGACTGCTAATCAATGGAGCTGTACACAGTAATTTGGCTTCTATATCTTCAGTCCAATAGAGTTGAATTCCATTTTTCATAGCTTTTAAACTAATTCCAAATTCATGCTCTTGGTTAGAACTTTTTTAAAAATTCCGTTAATCTTTAACTGAGTATCTCTAACAATGTGTTTACTCATTTTTACAAACAAATTTATGGTGGATATTTGTAAAATTGTTTATTGGCAACCAAGATCTTTATAGGAAGAAAGACACTTGCCACTTAACAATGGAACCAAATTTGATGAACTGCTGACTGGAAATGAACTTCCAGTAGCTTCCCTTTTGCTCCGGAAAGTATACTATAACAATAAATTTGACATGGAGTAATGCTTTCAGTATTCTGTATCTATTGAGGTTGAAATACCATTACAAAACTCTAGTATAATCAAATTTTCTTTCCTAAAAAGCAGAGTTTGTAGAAATTATACAAACATCCAACGTCCTTCATGGTAGACTGGTTAACAAGGTTAGATCACATGGAATTCTTTTCATTCATGGGATGCGAGTATTGCTGACTAGGCCAGTATTTATTGCCCATCCCTAATTGCCCAGAGGGCATTTAAGTTGACCATATTTATGTGGGTCTGGAGTCACATGTAGGCCAGACCAGGTAAGGATGGCAGTTTCCTTCCCTTAAAGGACACTAATGAATCCAAATGGGTTTTTCCAACAATTCGTGGTCCTCAGACTCTTAATTCCAGACTCTCTCTCTCATTCAAATCCCACCATCTGCCATGGTGGGATTCGAATCCATATCCCCAGAACATTACCTGGGCCTTTGGATTAACAATCCAGTGAGAATACCACGAGGCCATTAATACAGGGAGAACTAGTCATTTAGATACAGAACTGGCTCAAAAGTAGAAGACTGGGTGGTGATGGAGGCTTGCTTTTCAGACTGGAGATCTGTGACTAGCGGTGTGCCACAGGATCAGTGCTAGGTCAATTGCTTTTTGTCACTTAAATGATTTAGATGTGACCATAGGAGGTATGGTTAGTAAGGTGTTTGTTTCTTTTTGTGCAGATTACACCAAAATCAGTAGTGGACAGCGAAGAAGGTTATCTCAGTACAATGGAATCTTGATCAGATAGGCTAATGGGCTGAGGATTGGCAGATGGAGTTTAATTTAGATAAATGAGAGGTTTTGCATTTTGGAAAGGCAAATTAGGGC